TTTGACGCGTCGCCCGGTTTCCCGGTTTTTTTTTTTTTTTTTTTTTTAGCTTTCTACATTTTAAAGAGGAAAAAACACAGCACTCTTTCTACGTTTAAACCTAATTGTGGAGATCTTCCTTCCTTTGGGGGAATCGCTAAATTACGGAAGCACTCCCTGTAGATTTTAACGGTTTCTTTTTCCCCTTGGGGACCTTAATCAGGACTAGCCTCTTTAATTGCCGTCGGTTAACAAGGGAAGCAGCCGTTTAACCCGGCAGCCGATGGGATGCTAAAGCTTTGTAGATTTCCACTTACACAAACCTCTCTTAACTGGGTCCAAACAGGCAAAACTTTAGTGGTTTAGAACCTGATCTTACGTCGACCTTGTTCTCACGTCGTTTCTTTGTTCCTGGCACTCGGCAAATCTGCCACCAAAAAGCAATAAAGAATCACGGTTTATTTTTATAAATCGGTTGGAATAGTGAAAGAAAGAAAGAAAAATCTCCGTTCTTTTTTCATTTTTTTTCTTCCCAGGTTTGCACATCGTCGGCTAGTCCTCAACTTACAATCGTAACGGGGGGGCAAAATTTCCGTCATAAAAGTCACGGATGTCGTTAAGTCGGATGCCGTTTTACGGCATATTTTCATGGCGGCCGTTGGAAACAAACCGGGCGTTTGTTAAGTGAGTCCAGCTTTCCCCTTTTAACTTCGGTCGTTAAACGAATGGTTTGGTTGTAAGTTGAAGACTACCTGTTCCACACCCACACACGCGTGCGTGCGCGCAGCCATTTTGATTGATCCCTGAGGATGATCCGGGAGGTTGTGAATCCAGAGATCTCTTGTTCGGGGTTCTTTTACGAGCAAATTGTCTATTTTCCCCACCCTGTTCTCCCACACGAATTCTGTAGCTCAACCACTCGCAATCGGCAAGAACGGACTAAATTTTATTAACATTCCGTGCTTTCTGACATACAGAACGGGGGGTGAGAAGTGGTGAGAAGAACCATCGGCTTGTCGTGGAAACCTTCTGCCCTTCCTGGGGGCGGGAGGAGGTTTTGGGGGGGGGGAGACCTGTGGGGCAGGGGAGGAAGAGGAGGAGGAGGAAGAGGGAAGGGCTGGCTTCGCTTAACTTCCATTCGGAGCTCAACTTTTAACCATGGTGAAGTTGGTGGGAACAATGCTGGAACGAAACGCCCTCGGTTCGATCCCAGGGTCGCTGGCTGTTTGATCTAATTGGGGGAGGGTACTTGGGTACCCTGATTTACTCCCCCACCCCCTAAGCAAACCACAGATCCCCCACATTTGAGGAAATGAGGCTGTTGCTTTCGTATCAATGCTCTGCATTATTTCTGCTTCCTGAGTTTGGAAGCTTTGTGGAAAATAGGATTGGGGGGTCTCTGCAGGAGAAAATAAAATAAATAAAATCCCCCTTTTTTTTCTACCCCCGGTGATAGGAGCTTGGAGGCCTAGAATCCTGCAATAACCCAACTCCATACAGATTGATGAGTATAAAGTGTGTGTGTGAGTGTGTGTGTGTGTGAAGGAAAGGGGATAAGGGGCAGATGAGTAGGTGGGAGCAAAAATAGTTCAAAGCAGAGCGCAGAAGAATTTCTTTTCCCGGAAGGGGTTTTCCGAGGTGGGCACAGGGCTAATGAGGGGGTCCTCACAGATGTGGGCATCGCAGTAGGTCATCAAGTCGGCGGCCGCTTTCGACACCTAGAAAAGGGGGGGGGGACAAAATTAAGAGAATGGCATTCATCTGTTGGAAGTTGACATTCAACTGCATTTAGGCTACAAATCCGGGCTGCAGTATTCTATATAGACACCAGGTGGCAGACGAGAGAAGAAAACCAGCTGCTAGAAAGTCGCCACCGCCCGCTAGTGGCTGCCGGCAGTTTTGCAGGCCGTGTTTTCGCGACCTAACGACTGGAAGATGCCTGCGGGCAGGGGGGGATTCTGGGAGTTGAAGTCCCCGCGCGTTTCCTCACCTTTATTCTGCACATGCTGGCCTCAATCTTCAGCTGCTCCACCATTTTGCGAGCCTGACCGATGCTCATTGTGCTGTTGACGGGGGTTTCGCCCTTCATGAAGAACCTGCGGAGGACATCCGAGAGGGGGGAAAGACCACCCAAAGGCCGTTAATGGAGACATTGACGGGCGTCCTTCAAAACGAGCCCTAACTTGTCCTTGCAAGCGACTTCGCTAGAAGTAGAATTTGCTGGATCTTAAATTTAGGGCTAAGTTGCAGTATTCCAGGTGGCCACTGGAGGGCGCCCAGGCCATTCCAAAACCGGCACAGTACTGCATTGCTCCACCTAGTGGACGTCAATAGGTTTGCGCCCCCATGGTCAAGTTTTCTTAAAGAGGGAGTTAACCCAAGTAGAAATCCTTGTGTTAATAACCTGCTTGAACATCTGGAGGACAACTTCCATCATGTCATTAAGACAGGATGGTTTAGTAGTAAAACTCTTGGCCCAGCTCTGCCTGGGAAATTTATATTTTTGTTTATAAGGATTTTGTTCTTTGGGGTTGCTCTTGCAAGAGATCTCTCAATTGTAACAGGATACCAGGATTGGAAGGGACCCTGGAGGTCATCTAGCCCAACCCCTGCTCAAGCAGGAGACCCTATCCCATTTCAGACAAGTGGCTGTCGAATCTCTTCTTGAAAATCCCCAGCGATGGGAAGGAAGGGGAAGAAAGAAAAAGGAATAGCAGAATAACATTAACAAGAGTTGGAAGGGACCTTGGAGGTCTTCTAGTCCAACCCCCCCTGTTCAAGCAGGAGATCCTATACCATTCCAGACAAATGGCTGACCAGTCACTTCTTAAAAAACCCCAGTGATGGGAAGAAAAGAAGAAAAAGAAAGAATAGAACAACATTAACAAGAATTGGAAGGGACCTTGGAGGTCTTCTAGTCCAACCCCCTCCCCCTGCTCAAGCAGGAGACCTTATCCCATTCCAGACAAAGTTGTTTCCCAATCTCTTCTTCAAACCCTCCAGTTTTATACAAAGAATACGACGTTAAAACAAAAATGGATCCTATCTAATCTTTGGATTATAACGAGGACTAGCAGCATGACTAGGCCCACATTTACCCGGCAGGGGGTCGAGTGTGCGTGGGACTGCATCATCCATGGCACAACTATTATTTTGCACCGGGGTTAAGCAGGATAGTTTACGTCCAACCAAGCTGCTATCTCAATAACCATGGTTTCCTTAGCTGCAGTTTATCGTATCGGCTTCAACCTGGCTTGATTTACACAACATGCCATAAACCATGGAAAAAAGAGCGACGTTTGGTGTGTCGCTGGGTTCCTACAACATCACAACTTCAATGTGTTGTGTGAAGGTAGACCCAGGCTGAATGCAGGGAGGGGGAATGAGGGAGAAGGAGAACAATACATTAAAAATAACTCCAACGTAAACAAGAGTCCATTTTCTTTTCTTACAAACCAGAATCCTCTAAATAAGCCTTTATTGCTTCATTCAAAACCAGGACACTTTTGTTTTTCCCTACAACGACCGAATCTTGTGAGCCATAAAGACGGAATTAAACTTTCCCTGGTTCTTTAGAAAAACACCTTCCCTTCCCTTCTGATCCGATGCAAAATTCCCTCCGTAGAAATTTCATTTTGAAATGTCTCTGCTTCGTCTCTCTCTCTTTCTCTCCCCCTATTTGTTTTCTGCCCCAAGCCCTTCCTTCCCGGATCTCGGAGGCAACCGAGATAAATAGAAAAGAAAAGAAAAATCTCTTCAGGGGGGAAAAAAGAAGAGATATTTCAAAACAGAAATAAAGACCCCTCCCAATCTAGTGTGACATCGAAAGGAATTCACAGCCAAAGCAGGGAGAGGTGAATTTTTAAAATAATTCTGTTTCCATCTCTGATTTCCAAACCCCAACAGAGGGCAAGATCTGTCTGTCTGTTATCCCTTCTTTAGCTACCTTATTTATTGTTTCCTTCACCTTTCCTTCCTTCCATCCATCTTTTCCTCCCTTTTCTTCCTTCCCCTCTGTCCTTGCCTGCCTATCTTATTTACTCACTCATTCACTCCATCTTTTCCTCCCTCCTCTCTACCTCCTTTTTTCCTTCTTTCCTTCCCCTCTCCTTTCCTGTCTGTCTTATTTAGTCACTCCATCATCCATCTTTTCCTCTCTACCTCCCTTATCTGTCCTTCCCCTCTTCCTTCTTGTCTAATTTACTCATACACTCCATCATTTTTTCCTCCTCTTTGTCTCCCGTTTCCTTCCTTCCCCTCTTCCTGCCTGTCTATCTTATTTACTCACTCACTCACTCCATCCATCAACCATCTTTTCCTCCCTCTATCTCCCTTATCCTCCCTTCCTTATTTACTCTGTCCATCATCCATCTTTTCCTCCCTCTCTCTATCTCCCTTATCCATCCTTCCTTCCTTCCTTACTCCATCCATCATCCATCTTTTCCTCCCTCTCTCTATCTCCCTTATCCATCCTTCCTTCCTTCCTTACTCCATCCATCATCCATCTTTTCCTCCCTCTCTCTATCTCCCTTATCCATCCTTCCTTCCTNTTCAAATGCCAGAGTTTCTGAGCCAACATTTTGGTTGCTAAGCAAGAGCGTTGTTAAGTGAGTTTCTCCACATTTTACAAGTTGGCCATGCCCACACAGTCACATGGCCAGCAAGCCACTCCCACAAAGCAGGCCACACCTACAGAAGAGGTTCTAAAAAAATTTGAAACCCACCACTGCCTTAAATCATATATTACTTACTGAAGGAATGTAGACAGTCCTCTATTTATGAACAAGTTATATTCCAAGAAGCTGGTTGTAAATCCATTTTGTTTGTAAGTTCAACTAAGGCAATCACCAAGCACATGCACAGTACAGTTCATACCTTAGATCAGTGGTTCCCAAACTTGGTAACTTTAAGACTTGTGGACTTCAACTCCCAGAATTCTCCAGCTCTGCTGGTTGGAGAATTCTGGGAGTTGAAGTCCACAAGTCTTAAAGTTGCCAAGTTTGGGAACCACTGCCTTAGATAATTGCCATGTATGCCTTAATACTTAATGGCAATGAGTGAACGAAGGGGGTAACATTCAAAATGGTGTACGTTCAGCCTCCCAGGCTATGAGATATGTTTGCGACACACCATAAATTAACCCTTTCCTATATTTTCCCACTTTTCGGGACATTCTAGAATGGGGTTTCAACAGGTTTGTTCGTATTGGTGAAAGTAACTCAAAAGTTTATAAGAAGAGGACTGTATAAAAGCAAGCGTCACATGTGAAATTAATTTTCTCAACTTAAATCCAGTTTTCTTCTGGATACCACATGCCTTTCTTCAAACACCTGCATTTGTATTAATTGGAGTTCTCTAATTACGATAAAGGCTCAAAACATGTTGTCACCTTTAATTTGCTTAAGATATGGCAATATTGACAATTAGACAAGAAAATTCAGTTTGCATTTCAGTTTATGTAAATACCGGTAGGATGTTTTAAAATTTTCGTTTTATTTCCATTTTAGTGAAATATGAGAGAATCAAGTTCTTGGTGATTGCCTTAAAGAATGCTGTAGAGATCTATGCTTGGGCTCCTAAACCTTATCACAAGTTTATGGCATTTAAGGTATGTTTTCTGTTTTGTGTTACCAAAAAAATACCACTACTAATACATTTATTAATGTTTTTTCCGTATAAAAATACCTTTCATTCATTACTGGTATTTAGCTACCTGTAGCAAATAAGGACTTCAAGTCATGCCCTTGGCAAAAATAATAATAATAATACAACATCATTAGAGCTGCTTTTCTTACTGAAGTTCATAGCAACCAAATCTGACTATGCCACTATTAAATTGCTAGCCGTGCTCTGCCTGGATGCCATGTTGGATAGGGCTGCATATATATCTGAATGCCTGTAAGATTCAGCACTGCAGTAATGTCCTGGATTTTGCAAAGATTGCAGTCAACGTAGTTAGCCAATGGATTTAACATTTAAGTGGTAGCTTCTTCCATCTTGGACAAGAGATAGGACAGTGACCAAAGCTACTCTACCACAACCAGTGTACATCCCAAAGAGGCCTAATGAATATTTGGAACAATTTGATGAAATTGAACCAATTTTTTTCTAGGTTGTTTCCCCTTTCTGGTGTTTTGCAACAGTTTTGTTCTTTTTCGCTAAGGAATTTAAAAGCAAATAAGTAATGAAAGTGTACAGCCTAGTTCAGTGATGGATAACCTTTTTACCGTTGCATGCTGACCCCCTGTGCTCCCCTGCGCCCCTCCACCCCACCCACCCCCCGGGCATGCACCTCGCCCATTTATGCCTTCCAGGTTGGTGCAGGAGGCTTTCCAGGCCCAAAACGGGGTGGGGGGGGCTGGAAGGCCTCCTAAATCAACCTGGAAGCCAAAACTGGGCACAGGGGAGACCAAGGCCCCAAAATGCAATGCGAGCACCTCCCTGTGTTTGCGCCCCACACATGCGCAGCAGAGACCTGAAGACTATCCGGCCAGCGGGAGGCGTGCGGTGGAGCTGGGCTGGGGCAACGGCTGGCATGCCCGCAGAGAGGGCTCTGCATGACACCTGTGGCATGCATGCCATAGATTCGCCATCATGGGCCTAGTTAGTCCAAGATCTGAAAGTGTGGGGTTTGAAATGCTTGTTTCAAAGAAGAAATAACAATGCAACTTTCAAGATCTTCTGCGCCTTGGATTAAATCAGAACCCAAAAGGGATTCCTATTTAGCTCTAGGTATCCCTTTAATCCTAACATCCTCTTTCTGTTCAGTTTTTAAGTATAACAAAAGCTATAGAATTGTTGTAGCAGGGATGCTGGAAGAATGCGAGTTTCTTCTCCAGCCTATGTACCAAACCATAATAAAAAAATCACCATGGTGGACCTTGAAAAATACAGTTTTCTTAATGGGTTTAAGAAATTCTTGTTCATGCAATGTGTGGAATGGACTCACTCTTTTAAAAAATCCTTAAAAACAGAGAGGCAAAATTCCCGTGGAACTTTCCTATGGAACTTTAGACCTTCTTGCAATAGATCGATATACTGGTATTTTAAAAATCTGTCTAAATCTGCAGAGACTGTAAACTAGTAGACATAGAGGAGCACATTTTTAAAGAACAATATCAGGCTGTTAACTTTGTTGCTTCTGAATCCTAATTATTAGGATATTTATTTACTCTTTTTGCTTCTCACCAAAAAAAAATCAATCTATTTTAAAAAGCTTAAATTGGTCTAAATCTGCAGAGACTGTAAATTAGTAGACATAGAGGAGCACATTTTTAAAAGGAGAATGTCAGACTATTATTAGTTTCCACTGAATCCTAATTATTAGGATATTTATTTACTTAATTTTGCTTCCCACCCCAAAAAATTAATTGAGAGGATTTTAAAAGTCTTTTGCAGATCTTCAGCACAAACCATTGCTTGTTGACCTCACAGTAGAAGAAGGACAAAGGTTGAAAGTCATCTTTGGATCCCATACCGGCTTTCATGTTATTGATGTAGATTCAGGCAATTCGTACGACATCTACATACCCTCTCATGTAAGTCTGAGGCTGACGTTACTTTTATGAATGGGATGGGCAGGAAACCATAATAGTCGGATGCCATTTAGCTATAATTATTAACGATTGGATCTGTATCCTCTGGAAAGTCTTTGTGTCGGATTCTGTCATCAAAAGAAATCATTCAGCTGTAGAAACCTCTGGGGAGTCTTCAGGATAGCTGTAGCTTTGGAATGCCCTGCTTTAGAAGAGTCTTTGTGCTATTTGTGAAATTATAGCTATGTAATTTCTAACGTTGAATGCTGCTGTTCAGTGCTGCTTCCATTTTTAACTGAACTGGGTATTTAATTTTGTTTTATTAGTTAAAGGATCTTTTTTTGCCCACAAATGGCTATGAACATTTCTTTGCAAACTAGAAGAATAGCATATTCAAATATAAAATGCAATTAAGCGGAACCACTTAAGCCAGAATATCCCTGCTCATATTAATGGATTTAAACATGAATATCTCCAAGTATGTGTCTCAGATATTAAACAGAGCTTAATTTGAGCCTGAGCTATAAGAAGCTTCCAGTTATTCCCAGAGCTCTTATACTTCATCAGCCAAGTTTTGATAAACCTTCTGTCTTATGAGTAAACTATAGCATAACTCTGGCAAGCTTGTCTGAAGACATGGCCAATCTAGCAGACAGTAATCCCGGAAGCACATATATCATATCACTGGGCTGATGTTGGCTCTGCTTGTTTTCCAAAGGAAAGTGACCTGTACCAAAGCAAGTTGGATCTTCTTACTTTGAAAAAATGACTTAATGCTGGTTTGGGGGAATGTTCTGTTCTATGCACAGATTCAGGGCAATATTACACCTCATGCCATCGTCATCTTACCCAAGACGGATGGAATGGAAATGCTTGTGTGCTATGAGGACGAAGGGGTATACGTTAATACCTATGGACGCATAACAAAAGACGTGGTGCTCCAGTGGGGAGAAATGCCCACTTCAGTGGGTATGTCACTCCTCCTTCTCCTCCTCCTCCTCCTCCTCCTNGTTTTTTTAACTTTTTTACTTTTTAAAATGTATTGTTGTAAGCCGCCCGGAGTCCTTCGGGATTGGGCGGCCTATAAATTCATTCAATTCAATTCAATTCAACCCGTAGCTAATGTTATGGCCAGTTTGGAAAACCTCCAAATCACACCCTGGCTGGCCCCGCCTATTCAACCCCTCACACCCCACCCTTCCCCTCCCCTCCCAGGAGTCCCCACAGAGCCCGTTTTGGATGCGAGGTAAGTGCACAGCCCATGCGGAGGCTTGGGGAGCGGGGGGAAACGGGCCTCCTAGAAGTTCCAGAAGGCTGGAAACGGGCCCATTTCCAGCCTTTGGAGGGCCTCCGGAGCCAGGAGACGCAGTTTTTGCCCTCCCAGAGTCTCAAAGAAAGTCTCCGGAGCCTGGGGAAGGCAAAAATCCCCCCAAGCCATCACGCAGGAGGCCAACTAGGCCACATCCAACATGGCCACACCAACCAGCAGAGAACCTGTTGCTGAAATTTTTGAAGACCACCCCTCGGTAACTTCCAGACAGACCAAGATCTATCAATCAGGAAGTTTTTAAGAAGAGATTCGACAATCATTTGTCTCAAATGGTATAGGGTTTCCTGCCTGACCAGGACATTGGACTGCAAGATCTCCAAGCTCCCTCCCAACTCTGTTAATCTGTTAAATTAAATATTAAGCTTTTTTCTTGGGAATTCTTGGATGTTTTCTGGCATGGAACAGATGACACTTTCCCAATCTATTAGAGTCTGGGGTGATTCCTCTTCATAGTCTTCAGACCCTCACCCCCCCCCAAAAAAAACAATGTAAAAGTTTCCTGTTGGAGTAAAGCTCCACATATTTAGCTTGAGGAACATGTGAACCTATATAGGCAATATCTCCAAGAAGCTAAAAGTCGCCTTCTTCTTTGTTGAAACAAGTGTTTGGATTTTCTTAATTCGCCCTAAATTCATACTGTATATAGTTTGGCTAGGCTTTTAAATCTTCTGCCATTAACCTTTCTATGGAAGTTTGTTTATATCCCACTTTTATTTGTTTTAATATCGTTTCATTTAACATCTCATCATTTTTTATGGTAATTTTATTAAAGATCACAATTAAAAAGATAAAATAATTGCAAACCAAAAGAAAGCTAAAAGAATAAATGCTGATCTGTAAACCAGTGGAATGGCTTGTCCTCAGAAGCTGTAGGTGCCCCATCTCTGGAGGTTTTCAAGAAGAGAATGGACAGCCATTTGTCTGAAATGGCATAGACTCTCCTGCTTGTGCAGGGAGTTGGACTAGATGACCACCAAGGTCTCTTCCAACTCTTATTATTCTATGTTCTATGTTCAGTCCTCAATCTTTAATTTGCAATTTGTCATTTCTTTTCTTTATCAACTATCAATTTAATACCTCATTAAGAGGTATAAGAGAAAGAACATTTACAAATTTTCTGGTGTTGTAACTTCCAAGTGTGTCTTGGTGTGGATGTAAATGAAAAGACGCAGGTGTCTAGTTACTTAGAGCAGTGGTCTCCAACCTTGGCAACTTTAAGACCTGNAAATGAGGACCCAGACTGTGGGGGCGATATGCTGACTCTGTAAAACCGCTTAGAGAGGGCTGAAAGCCCTATGAAGCGGTATATAAGTCTAACTGAGAAGAAGAAGAGAAGAAGAAGAAGAGAAAGAAATGAATCCCACCACTTCCATACTCATATGTGGGATGGGACACTGAAACTCTGGGCTAAAAGTCTTCTCTGATAACATCATCAAATAAGCCAAACGTAGTTGGTTAAGGAGATGACTTCACTGCTATCAACAGCAAAACACAAGAAATCCATGGGGTTCATCTGTGAGGTAACAATAGCACTACTGCGCCAAACTATCCTATTTAGATATTACTCTTTAAAGTTCAATTGTAATTGTTTAAAAGTTCAGACGAATTAGTGCCAGGTAGCATATCCCAATGGAACATAAGTTTCAGCAGAACAAATAAATATACTGTAGATCTGGTCCCATTTACCGGTACGTCTCTTGGAGATGGCTGGGAGACATCTTGGACACAGTACAGTATAAGTCCTTTAACTAGAGGAGAGGAAAGCACATTGGAGATCTCATTCCATGCTCTTGGATATATCAGAATGATATATGTGCAGAGTTATTTTGGGCTCTTTGAATATGCCCCATATGTTTTCTCAGAATTAAGCTTCACTGCATTCAATGGTTTTATTATCAGATAATGGCCATAGGACTATAACCTAAATTGCAAAAAGGCAGTGCTATTTAAAATTTCTTCATCAGTAATCAGACCAATATTTCAGAAACATATTTTCGTGGAGAATGTTTTCCTTAAATGGTACAGTTAATTACTGCTTTTTTTTGATGGCAAGATTTAAGCTCAATTTTTAAAGTAGAGATTCTATCATCAGAAAACTGCATTTCCCAGCTGTCAATACGTTATACCAGGTACACATCAGGAATACCTCTTAGATAATTCCTGAATTTCTAAATTTCTAAAATTGATTTGTTTGTTTTTATTTATAATATTCCTTTATTGTTGTGTTCCCGGGCATCTGTGGGTTATGTGTATGAATGGGAATTATATAGTTGATTTGAAGTCATGATATACACTCCCAATTATATCCTGACACATGCAGTATCATTTTTGTTTTTACTAGACATCAGTGGCGATATCCGAGTCTGATTTCTGACGATATATACATAAAAAACAAACATACCATGTCATGAATCATTAGTTAAAATAAATTATTTGTTTATTTGAGAGGTCCTTGGTGNTCTACCGAATAGGTGCAAACTGGTAGGAACCCACCTCTGCCCCTTCTGATGAATAAGGAATATTTTCTTTTTTAAGAATATAATTAATAGCCTGGACTACTAGAGTATCATTAGATCCTGGAGAAGACAAGGAGAGGGAGACTTAATTCTTTCACTGTCCTGCTCTGTTCTTAATAAACATCTCTCTCTCCACATCTTCCCATTGTTATTTTTATTGACAGGTAAAGCCTAATATTTTAGAAAATTCCAGGCTTGGTGAATGTGGAGGCTGTGGGAGAGAATGAGATTATGCTTGAGCTGTTTTGAAGAAAGATCATATATTTTTGTTTTAAAAAATATTACATTGATTTCTCCATTACAAATTAATATTAAATATAGAGAAGTAAACAGCAGACTGCATGTGCATGAGTAATTATGGCTATTGATTGGGGAAATTTAGAGTATTAGTACCATAAAAACAATTACTAGGTTGCAAAAATTATGTCTGGGTACTACAAACCAAGTGGGAAAAAAGACTCCTTGTATGTATGGCTGTCCTTAATACGTTACAGCTCCTTTGTGGTAACAGCTACTGAAATAGAAATGCAAAAAAATAAAATTTAATCCATGCATCAGTTGCACAAGCCTACAAAGTATTGACCAGTGTTTTTAACTCTGTCCTATCATGACCATTTAACTGCATGTAAGTAAATTGACTTTTGGTTAATGTTCAGACATTCTTGCACAAAAGCTGTCAAAAAGTGTTTGCGACAGAGCTCCATAGACATAATCACACTGACATCCATAGGATGTTGCTTTTGTAAAAGGGGCACAGAAACCACCCCTGGTATCTGAGGTCTGGCTGGTTGTTGGCTATACACTTAGTTGTGTTATCTTATCTGTTTACTTAAACATAGAGCATATCGTCAAGTCTGGAACACTTCCAAACAGAATGCAATATACTGGATTCTAAAAAAGTAAAGCACAAACATATGTGACATTAGAAACTCTGGGTAGCATTCTTTGTATTATAATAAATCACTCCAGCTCTGTTTCAGGGTCCCCTTACTCATTCCCATACTGCAGTGGTGGTGTTCAGCAGATTCTGACCAGGGAACTGGTAACAGAAATTATGAGTAGTTTGGAGAACTGGTCAATACCACCTTACTGGCCACGTCCTCATCTATTCTCTGCCTCCTGAGTCCCAGCTGATTGGGAGGAAATGGAGATTTTACAGTATCCTTCCCCTGGAGTGGGTAGGGAATGGGGATTTTGCGATAACCTTCCCTGCCATGCCCACTAAGCCAAGCCATGCAACATCCACCAAGCCACACCCATGGAGCCGGTAGTAAAAAAAACGAGCTGAGGTGGCGCAGTGGTTAGGGTGCAGTACCGCAGGCCACTTCAGCTGACTGTTATCTGCAGTTCAGCGGTTCTAGTCTCACCGGCCCAAGGTTGACTCAGCCTTCCATCCTTCCCAGGTGGGTGAAATGAGGACCCAGACTGTGGGGGCGATATGCTGACTCTGTAAANACCCTTACCCTACCCTAACCCTAATCGCGCTTTTGTGGGCACGGTTTTGTTGGCGCGCTGTTGTGGGCGCGATTTCGACGTTGTGGTTTTGTCGGCACGCTTTAGCCGTGCGCGCATTTGTCGGGTCACGGAAAGTTCTTAGTGTTCTATTGATTTTGTATAGCTTCAGGCATTCACAGGTCCATGTATATTTCACTGAGTCATAGGATTTTTTGTACTTAATCCAGGCTGTGCTCAGATTGCTTTGCTTAGACCTTGAGTCATAGGTGACTGCTCTACCTATGACCAACTGAGGTCTTGATCTATTCCCAATGCCCTTCTGAGCTGTACTCATGTACTGGCTCATATGGTCCTGTACAGAGGGTGGGTTTTTACCAGCTCGGCCTGGTTTGGCTGAACCGGTAGTGGTATGGCAGCCTGGATCGCTGGAACCGACAGCGACCCAGGTCTGCCACGCTCCTGAACCGTTTCCCCAGTCACCGCCATCACCACCACCATCTTGTTTTTGAGTTTTGCACATGCACAGTACAATTTTAATTGAACTGTGCATGCGCGCCGCGCACGAGCGAACTGGCAATAAAGCCGGCCAGAACCCATCCTTGGTCCTGTAGCTTGTTGGTTATAATGCCTCAATAGAACTTCCCATGTTGTGGGAAGCAGCTTATAGA